AAATGGGAGGGGGGGAGGGGGCAGAAATCTTTTTTTTTTCAATAAAAAAATTATATTTAAAAAAAATTAAATTGAAAAAAATGTAATATATAATTAATAAATAGAGGTTAATAAATAAAAAAAAAGAGTTCAAGTTGCTACAGGATGGAAGCAAGCACAATCAAGAAGGAAGCATTAGTCTCTGGAGATAGTCTCTGTTGAGAAGGCATCTTTTAAAATAGTCCATAGAACTCTGTGTGTGACAGACACAAAACTGACGGCATAAACTTCCCATTCTTATCTTTGACCTTTACTTCTGTGGGCCAAGCATCATACAAGAAGGTGAATCAAGGAGCCCAATACGGATGCTGTATACACTGCACATAACTCACTGCGGCTCCAGGGCTGCCTGTGTCTCAAGAAAGCTATGAATGGGCCCTACATATTTGTAGATGACAATGTCACATCACAGGCTAGACACCATTGGCCACTCTGAAATGCTGCTGTTTTTATTGGTACAATCTACAGCTGGAGAAGAAGCCTCGGGTTTAGGTGTCCCCTACAGGAGCGACTGCCCTGTCATCTGGGATTAGCAGATGATTGTGTGGTTACACTCATCTTGATTATATAAAACCATTTTTAGTTCATTCAGAAACTTGCTTTCACCTTCAGCTAGAAATGAAGAAAAAGCTATCGGTACAGTGCCGACCAAAGCCCAGGACAGCCTCGTGATAGTTTGTTTCCACATCTGCATCACTAGCCAGGCACAACTTTGCCTTCCTGAGCCATAGTCTATCTTCCTAAATTCTGGAACCTTCAGGAACGGGTGTTTTTCTTGCTATCAGGATCTGCTACACAAATCAATGTCTTTTTGTGAGCCAGGAGCACTGAGAATCAGGAACCTTTCCCATCATCTCCATGGTTTAGTAGATGAAGCTCAGCAATACTGTGAGGTGGTTATGATGCCTTTTCTCGCACTTGATAGACATGCCTGGGTTATACACATGCTGAGCAGGACCTCCCATGCTCTGGACAGATGACAAAGTCCCTGGGAGTTGAAAGAGCACTGGGGGAGTATGGGCTGTATGGGCTGGGCTCCTCCTGCTCCTGGTACGGCTGCTTACTAGCTGCAGGGTAGCTGTTTCCTTTTGCTGGACCTTCACTTCCTCAGCTCGGCCATGAACATCATCTTCTCTAGTTCTCCTCCAACCTTCTATAGCTGTCACATAGCCATTTTCTTTCCACAGCGAGCAATCTTTCGCAATTATTTTAAACATCTTACTCTTCAGAGACGTCAAGATGACTTGCAGGTAAAAGAGCTTGCCAGATGATTATAATGACCTCAATTCAATGCCTGCAGCCCAAGGTGGGAGGATAGAACTGACTCCAAAAGTTGTCCTTTGACCTACATATGTACACCATGGCACAAGTGCGTATGCACGCATGCACGCGCGCGCGCACACACACACACACACACACACACCCTTTCGAATGGCTTGAAGGAAAGTACCCATCACAAGAGTCCCAATTTTTCACATATCACCAGTGGAAACCAGCGGATTTAAATGGGTGACCATGGTCACTTAGGGCACATGGAGACAGAAAACAGGCAGCTGCAGGTTGTCAGATTGTCCTTGTTGATAAAAGCAGCTGCATACTACACTCTAGGCTTCATGTTGAACATCAGCACACCTCCCTGTGCAAGGATTCCACCAGACCAATGATATCCCTAGCCGATAAGCACAACCTGATTCATCAAATGAAGTTTAAATGGCTCAAAACTCCCCCAAAAGGTTGATAGCACACGGTCTTGCTTTTTAAAATGATAGGTGGTGGTTGTCTTTATACTCAGAGTAGTGTCGCTTTGGAGGAAAGCCTGTTTTGCCTGCCATTTATCTATGCAATATAATAAAACTGGGTGCCTGGCCATGACTTTATAACTAAGAAATAAATTGTTCTGTGGCACATAAACTGGACCACCCAATGATACTCTTTATTGTGAAATAATGGCGATGCTCTTGAAAATTCTGCTTCTGGAGAGAAATCAGGGCATCTGCATGTTTCTGGGTATGTTGAGGCCTCGGATAAAACAGGGGCAAGTGTGAAAAGTGACTTCATGGAGACTTCAGGATGTATGTTGATATAGCCACAATCATCAAAAGTATCAGGTGTGGCTTTTTCTATGAAAATGTTTAAAATCTAACATTAAAATGAGATTATGAGGTTGGGATATAAAATTAATTAATTAATTAAAATGAAATTGTGATATTATGACTTATTTATTTATTCGTGATTTTAAGACAGGGTCTCACTGTGTATCTCGGGCTGTCCCTGGAGTCACTACACAGCCCATGCCAGGGCCAAACTCATGGTGATGCTTCTGCCTCCGGCCCTGCAGTCCTGACTACAAGTGTAAGCCGCAGCACCTAGCTTAAATTGCTATTTTTATATAAACCATGGTGTTGAGTGCTAAGGTGTGATACTATAAAAAAACTTTAACTATTAATGTCTGATTTTATAATACATATTTAGATTTTCTAACATTTGAGGTATTACAGAATCCGTCAACGGCAATGAATCAATGAATCAAATCCTCTGATGGTTAAGTCAAGATGATTAGCCCATTAAGAAAGCAGGTCCTTAAGTCTACAAGCAAAGAATTTTTACTTACATGTGACGGTTGACTTGTGGAATGCTTGAAAAAATTCTCTAAGATGGCATTTGGCTTAATTTTATGCACTGCCTTTTGAATGCCAAATGCATTTGCTAGAGGTGTGGCAACGAACCTACAAAATATGAGAAGAAGGTTTGAGATGTAAGAAGCCCACGGCCCCACCAGAAAACCCAGGCTGTTCCTTTAGGTGTCCAAGGAAAGTTTAGGCATTTGCTTGCACTGTTCTAGTTTGGACATGGAATGTACCCAATGGTCCCCACTGAAAAGTTTAGTCCATAACGTGTGCTATTAGGAGCTGTGTGTAAACCATCAAGAGACAGGCCTGGTGGGAAGGCCTGAAATCATAGGTCTTCCAAGGGGATCGTAGAACCTCAGGCTCTCCATTGCTTTCTTCCTCCGGAGGTAAGCAGTCCACTCCACCATAGTTCGGTTCCTGCTATGCTATGATATCTCACCAGAGCTGAAGCACTAAGGTCACCCAACTTCAATTGTTCAATTGGAATACACATTTGCTTTATAAATTAATTGCTTTGGGTATTTTGTTACAACAATGGTAATCTGACTAATACACATTGTCCATGGAGCTACATACAGTCAATCTCTGCTCACCAAATACTCCAAGGAGAAAGCTGGGTATGGTGCTTATGACTAGAACCTAGCACTTGGGAGGGTGAAGGAGAAAGATAACAGTGAGTCTGAGGCCAGCCTGTGCTACATAATGAGTTATAGTGTAGCTTAAGCTACAGAGTCTCAGAAGATAAACCATAAAATGATAATAAAGCATCCCACATTTAAGTTCAAAGAGAAAAAATTTTCAGACCTATGCACAAGCAAAACTTTAAGAACACACAATGCAATACACAGTTCAAAATTCATTTCATTGTGAATCTGAATATATATATATTGCAAGATTGAGGACTAGGACAAACTATTGTATTTAGAACTCCACTTTAAGACTACCAAGGACTAAATTTAGTGTTCACTGCTTCCTAATAAGTTGAAATTTTGCTTTCTAAAGTAGCTGTACCTTTTCACATTCCTGTTAATAGCATGTCATGTTTCCAGTTACCCCAAATCCCGCAGAAGCTTGGTTTTATCAGCTGCAGGAATTATACTGTGTGCGTAGCTGCTTCTATTCATTTACAGTAGAATTGTTATCACTCTTAGCTTCTGCTCCAACATGAGTTTCATCTTATCTTTCTAATTTCTTAAGGTGGAATTAATCCTTCATTTTTAAATAGAAGGTCTTGAAGCTGAAAACTCCTTCCAGCCCTACTACTTCCACATTCCAGAAAGTTCTAATACAGTATGCTCTAATACAGGTACAAATATGTCTAGTTTACCTTGTGATCCCTTCTTACACTGGTTATTAAGAAGTGTGTTGTAGCTTGGCTTGTCAAGGACAAGATTAACAGAACCTTCTGGATATTTAGCAGATTATCCAATTAAGTATAAATATAAAACTAAGTGTACATGGCTAGTTGAAGGCTAGTAAGAATAGTTAATCCAAATGGAGTGTTAATATTAAGATTCAATCACTTAGCTACTGAATGCTTCTAGGATCACATGTACATTTAGGATGGAGATTCAACATATGGGCCTTTAGTAACTGTGCTTAGATTGCAAGCCTTAAAAAATTTGCCTGAAGCAACCTCCACAGGAGCAGCTACAAGAGAGTGACCACTGAAGGAGCAGGCCTGACCGAGAGGCTTCTGTAGGACCATGTGTGCGCACATGAGGCAGAGACCTCCGAAGGAGCAAGCCTGAGCCAGAGACATCTGCAGGTCTGGGCCCAAGCCAGGGACCTCTGCAGGAACAGGCCTAAGTCAGTGACCTCCAGAGTACCAGAGCAGGCCTGAGCCACCAACCTCTGCCAGAGCAGGCCTGAGGCAGCTACTTTGGATATCAGTATGGCAATTTCTCAGAAAATTAGGAAACAACCTTCCTCAAGACCCAATAATACCACTTTGGGGTATATACCCAAAGGATGCTCAATTGTACCACAAGGACATGTGCTCAACTATGTTCATAGCAGCATTGTTTGTCATAGCCAGAACCTGGAAACAACCTAAATGCCCCTTGACAAATGGATATGGAAAATGTGGTACATTTACACAATGGAGTACTACCAGCAGAAAAAAATAATGACATCTTGAAATTTGCAGGCAAATGGATGGATCTAGAAAGCATCATATTGAGTGTGAGGTAACTCAGACCCAGAAAGACAAATATCATATGTACTCACTCATAAGTGACTTTTAGACATAAAGCAAAGTAAAACCAGCCTACAAATCACAATCCCAGAGAACGTAGACAACAATGAGGACACTAAGAGAGACATACGATCTAATCTGCATGGGAAGTAGAAAAAGACAAGATCTCCTAAGTAAATTGGGAGAATAGGGACCATGGGAGAGGACAGAAGGGGAGGGGAGAGGGAGAAAAGGGAGTGGAGAAAAATATACAGCTCAATAAAAACAATTTAAAAAGAAGTATGTTGTCATTTTCACTATTTCACTAATCTCCCTGTGTCTTTCTGTTACTAGTTTCTACCTTCCCTCCCTATGTATAGTTGCCACCCTGTCATGGTCACAGAAATTTGTGTTTGGGGCCTGGTACATGGCATGCCATGGGAGTGCCCTATGTGCACAAGAGAAGAGCATGGACCTGCTGTTGGAGGGAGTGTTTTGGAGATGCTTGCTAAGTCTGATGGTCTATATTTAAACCTATTTTCTTTCCAATCTCCTGCCTAGTTATTCTAGCTATTATTGAAAGAAAGCCCTCAACTATTGGGTTGGGATAAGGTAGAGAACCTACTAGCATGCACGAGGCCCTAGGTTCAACGACAGCACTGAAAAACCAAAAAAGCAGCCACCACCAACAAAAAGCTATTACTGCAGTGTTACCTATGTCTCCCTTTTATAACGGCAGTTCTGCTTCATGTGCTAGGACTCTACTGTTATGTACACCCTTGTTTATAATTATTATATCTTCTTAAAACATCCTTTGTACTAACACTTTGGGGATTGATGCAGTTAAGTTTGTCTTAGAATGTAGCCTCTCGGGCCCTCTCTGAGCCACTGCCTTAGTGGATAGCACTTCTGTCCCTTTCCTTTCAACCTACGAGCATCACTGAACCTCAAGTGATTCGTGTGTGCCCATATAGATGGAGCATGTTTTCCTGTCTTTTCTTCCAAGCATACTTTTTAATTACAGCATGTAATTGGTTGACATTTTATTACTGATTGGAAAGGATTTTCTCCGTGGCACGTGGACACTTGTTTTGTGTGTGTGTCATTCTCTGTTTCATTAATTTATGACTCTCCTCTTTCATGTTAGATGTTTTCTAGGATGCCATGTAAATCCCCTTATCTCTTACTATTTTTAAAATTATTTTCTCAGTGATTATTTTGGGATTATAATATACATCTGAATTTATAACATTTTGGTTCAAATTGATAGCAGATTACTTTCAGCAGGATACAAAAATTTCATTCTTTCCTCTTCTCTATTATCACATAAAGCATATCCTTATATACTATGTTCTAATCAACAGATTTACTATTATTATTTTATGCAAATAAACAAAGAGTATAAAAATAGTTTTACAGGGGGCTGGAGAGATGGCTCAGTGGTTAAGAGCATTGCCTGCTCTTCCAAAGGTCCTGAGTTCAATTCCCAGCAACCACATGGTGGCTCACAACCATTTGTAGTGATGTCTGGTGCCCTCTTCTGGTCAGCAGACATACAGACAGAATATTGTATACATAATAAATAAATAAATATTTTAAAAAAATAGTTTTACAAATGAAAATACAATCATATTAACTTGGTAGACTTTTAAGACCCGTAAGCAGTATAACTTATCAAAACCCTTTACAATCTTATTTTTCACTTCAGTCGTACCTATTTTAAATGTTACAACCTCTCAGTTTTTTGTCTTTGATTTATAATTTCTATTATTTTATTACTATTGTGATTTGGTGAGATATTGTGCTCCTGTTTTTGTTTTGTTCTCAAGCACGGTTGTCTCTAATTCTTAAAAAATGTTTTAAACAGCAAATTCTAAATTCATACCCCACTAAGTGGAACACCTGGGCTTCCCCAAAGACACTGTCTTCTGTGTATGTACCATGATTTCCCAAGTTTCCCATGACTGCTCAGATTTTGTGGTGTGTTAAGTGGGTGACTCTTGGCCTCATGTCACCTACCCATCACAGTTTGCTTTGTCCTGTTGGCCTATTTGTGTGTTGAGTCACTTCAAAACCCTGTGTCGTGTGTAGGTGCTGAAATCTCTAGCATGTGCGGTTGCTGCCCAACTAGTGACTGAACAAAGGCTTCCTTCAATACCCAGGGCCAGCAAGTCTTTGGGCTGCTGCAGCTTTGCGCATGTAGCGGGCAGCAGCATCCACTCGCAGCCGAGCAGCAGGAGTCTGCCTTAGTGTGCACTGTTTCCTTACAGGGGGCATTGAAGTCATGTGGGGGTGAGAGCTTAGGGACTTCTGGAGTCTTGCCTGGACCCAAACAAATCGTTAAACATCAAATGGACCTTCACCAAGGCCAGCTGGCCTGGGTCTGAAAAAGCCTGGGATAAAACCGGTCTCGCTGAACATAGCAGACAAGGAGGACTACTGAGAACTCAAGAACAATGGCAATGGGTTTTTGATCCTACTGCACGTATTGGCTTTGTGGGAGCCTAGGCAGTTTGGATGCTCACCTTACTAGACCTGGATGGAGGTGGGTGGTCCTTGGACTTCCCACAGGGCAGAGAACCTTGATTGCTCTTTGGGCTGATGAGGGAGGGGGACTTGGTTGGGGGAGGGGG